TTTTTTATAAGCGATTACTAAATATATTAGAGGGGTTTAAACAACAGATGGGGAAAATATATGGTTTAGAGGGGGTGTTGTGTGTGTGTATTGAGAGATCATTTTGAAAGGAGTGATACCAAGCACACTGGCATAGACACCAAGGCCATTTCGCAAGGGTTTCACTTAAAAACTTGAAGAAAACTTATGTATAAGAAATTGGTGTTAATTAAGTTGGACAAAATTCGGGGTATTTGGGATTTATCGAGTGAACTGTACATTTTAGGCGGGCTAACGGGGCCCTACACTGGTCGACACCCCCTTTCCAGTCGCTGTACTGTTAGAATCAGTTGGAAGTCCCCAACACTGAGCGCAGGGATGGTGTGTGTGAGCGGGCCGTTAGCCTCCACTGTAAGAGAGCTCATAGAAACAAGAGATGCCACACACGAAATACACCGTTAGACTCGCATACACTATAACTACTCATAAAAATATTCACTCACTATATATTTCAATGGCAGAGAGAGAGAGAGAGAAAGAGAGAGAGAGAGAGAGAGAGAGACTCATTTGGATTCACTTTTGGTTTTCTAGCATTTTATTGATAGCGAAAAAATGTTTGGAAATAAAAATAAACATAAAAATCGTATTTTGTTTTTTAATGGCCAATCGCTGGCAAGTGTTTGTGATGAACGCAAACAAAACAAATCATTTCATAATTTTGTCTCCCATTGAGTTTTGATTATGCCGTCGTTTTTCTCAATAATTGTTTTCATTAAAATTTTTCTGTATCTGACTCATGATTGCCTCAATCCCTGTTGCAAAAAGTGAAAATATTTTTTGTCTCGATATAAAAATATTTATTCTATACTCTTATCCCTTTCCCATATACTGTAGATGAGGGGCGCAAACATATGTCTCCATACAAACCATTACTAACAAAAGCCTTGCAATTACTCTCTGAAAGCAAAATATAAATTACTTATAGATATTGCTAGTGTTTTGTCAAAATTGATTTCACATCAAACTTATATTCAATTTATTTATTATTTTTAAAAATAATAGTTACGGAGGAAATGGAACTTTTGGATACATTTCCAAAACCCATTTCATAGATATATGGTTACAGTAGTATTTCATTGAACCCAATATAGCGGCCACATAAATAATACAAAATATTACATTTTAAACCTAATATACACACAAATATTGATTACGTATAATTCAATTTGAACAAAAAACGCTAATGTCTTATAATCTCTTTATATCTGATTTGCCTTCAAAAATTTGATTCATAAAAACTAATTCAAGTATATATAATAATACAATTGCATTTAAGTGTTGAGTTTATGTCTTGTCTTTCCAAAACAACTGTCTGTTTGAATGAGCAGAATATCGAAAAAAGTGGGGAAAAGCAACAAAACAAGAGATAGAATCGGATTCCTATTAAGAAAGTGTCTGTTCTCTCAGGTAATAGATTTTGGTTTTGAATTTCCAATATTGAGGAAGAGTTATATAAATATATGGCGTAAGTGTGGTTTTGAGTGTAAAATTATATTTCTTTAAACTCACATTCGTCAGATAAAACACGTAATATTAGCACTAATTTTATGCTAAATTTTGAGTTCATGTGTATATTCTCTGTGTGTGACTACTCTTTCAAACACAACATCATAACTATTAACTGAATTATGCATTACTTACAGACTTTATGCTTAAATTCTCATTATTTTTATGATGGCGTTTAGAAAGAGATGATAAGTCCTTAAGTTATTTACAAAAAAATCTAACTGTAAGGAGAAATATTTGCCATTCATTTATATAAAGCAAAAAAACTGTTCATATAAGCAGTCATTAAATTTTTATATATAAACTAATTTAATATAGATTTCTCTCTAAAACGGAAACTCACTGTCAGTACTGTATTATAAAGTGTGAGAGAATATGCGCTAAAAAGTGGATAATATTTTATAGTAAGAATGATGGCAAAATTTTTAATTTCTTATATATTTATATTAAACTTGGAAAATATGGTTTAGAGTCGCAAATGTTGTCATTAAATATGAAAAAGAGATTTATGCCCAGAAAATGTCTAATGAATTGCACATCTAATTATATACTCAGATACTGTATATTAAATTCATGTCGTAAACTAATTTCTATCTCATTTTAATTTTAAATCTAAACCTCTTTTATGATATCCATTCACTCATAGACTCCAAAATTCAGAGGCATTTACTCTGAAAGAGGAGACAACAGAAGACCAAAGTTTTGTCGCCAAACGGATAAAGCTTTGCGACGACGAGTTGGTCACCACCGCATCCATTGGCGACGATCTCACACCGCCACTGCAACTGCCGTCACATCACCACCAGAATCAGCTCCTCCACAGTCCTATAGGGGACACCAAGTCGTCCAATACAATATCATCGTCTCCCAGTGCCAGCAGTGATAGCGGACATTGCAGTAGAGCTTCTCCCGACATCACTTCACTCACATCCACAGCCAATGGTATGTCAAATGTCATCAAAAGCCTTGTTATGTTCGCTGTATGTGTGATGTCGTGCACTCGTATCCGTCGATGAGATTATGTCTCATATAATATAGTTTTTGGGTTATCTCCTGTTAACCGACAAATCAAACGTTAAGTTAGAGATCAGATGCATTGATGACCCTTAAAAAGTTGTCACAAATTTATGCCTAGGTTTGCATATGTTTGGGTCTCACCAACCAGTAAATACTGATAAGAGTTACGCAAACTGTTGAGGCGGTTATGTTGTGTGCAGTGATTGACTGACAACCCGTCAACCGAAAAAATACTTCACCGATATATACAGTACTCAAAAACATATAGTAAACCCCACATGAGAGTGAGTGAAGTGTTTCTCATTTTAAGAGTCTCTCTCTCTCTCTCTCTCTCTCTCCACACTCTCCTCAATCAATGTTTGGATTTTGTCCAACAAATACTTGCCATTCGTCTCAAAATTAAAACACATATTCTTTTATAATTTATTTTCCTAAACACTACTCCAATAAGTTTTTATGCAATAATTTATTACACCACTCACTCATTCACGTCTACTTTTTGTTCGTTTATATTAATAATGAAGTTATAAAGTTTAGGCATATTTTTGTTTAATTACACCAATTTGTTTATATCGCTGCGAGAAGTCTTAATAATTTATGCGAAGTTTTATAATTCATGATTTAATATAATACTTGTTTGTTTCTCATTAATTTAATGATTTAAAAGTTGTGTCTATTTTGTATTTTAAATGCTAGAATCAATAAGAAAATTTATGCAAAATCCTTATATTTATATAAGTTTTTAATACATATTTAGTTCTAATCTTTATGACATTTTTGGACACGTTTTATGATTTATTTCGTTAATCCAATATATGTTCAAAATTTCAATCTAAGAACTAAAACCTATTTGTGAATCGTTTGCCGCTTAGTCTCCAAACTGAAGGCAATCCTCTCTTTTCTCTCACTTTGCAAAACACATAACTTATAAGAAGTTTTCTGAAAAACATCATTTTGTGAAATACATCGAAAGAAATGTTGTCTTTTGAGTGACAGCTTATGTATATTAACACAAATATCAACTCATATTTTGCTAGTTTTTCCAAAAGAAAACTTTAGATTTACAGATACATAAGCGATGCATATGTGGGCCTAAAAATGAGCACAAAATTAGCCACAAATGAACACATTTTGTGATTACTTGCTCTACAATACATGTCCTGTAAAAAAGGTTTAACTTTGTTTTTGTCACTTTTGTGCTTAAATCAGTTATATAAGGGTTGAAAAAGTTATTCATTTTATCATCTGTATCTAATTGTGATTTTAACTTTTTTATGTGTTTATAATCAGATCTCATTTATGATATATTATTATGTATCCAATATCACGGATCCCTAAATGATATTATTTAAGAATTTAAATAATTAATTAATCCGTTTGTTTTGGATATTAAATACCATATCATATACTGTAAGCGTGTTATGATATATGACATACTGTTATTATATGTTTTATATTTACGAAATGAAAAATACAAATTAAAAGTCATTTTCTAATGTTGTATTTAAATTAAAAACTTTGTTTTGGTTGACTAATGAAATATTGTCGGTGTTATTGTCTACAGGTGCGCCCCAGCCTATGGCCAGTGCTAGTGGTGAATCACCAACAGATTATCATAACAGTTGGGGAATGTGTGGAAATGATGGTATGTCTTGAGAATATATACATAAAAACTTCATACAAACATAAATACTCTATAAATATAATACTATACACATAAATGTGACAAAAATCGCGAACCACAAACAAAAAACTAAGATAATAAATGGTACCAAGTTTAAATAAGTTTAAGTTTAAATAAATGAATATAAAGTGTATGACATATTCTTTGCCGAGTCTAAGAAAATGAGCTCAAAATGACATGATATATATGATTGCAACAGTGAAAGTGGACTCGACTTTACTGACATCACATGCTCTCTCGGATTCTGATTGCAATATCTATTCAACCGGTGGTGTCGCCGATCATCTCAATTCTTCATACTCCGAGCTCAGCCCAACCCATCCCACAGCGTATTCCTATTACGATAGGTCTGTATATCTGTATATCAATCTATTTATATATCACTTATATAACTGTGTGTCTCGTCTCTCTTCTCTCTCTTTCACTCGCTTATGAATATTTTTAGATATATTTCCAAATATTTTTATTATTATATATCTCTTAAGAATTCACTCTCTATTGCTTATCAAATATGCTCAGTATATAAGTTATTCTATATGTACAGCGATCTATATTACCGAATAAATTATCAGTACTTATAGCAAGTGGAAAGTGCTATTTTTATGTTATAATTTATATATCTAAACATAAAGCTAACGGTGCTGTTTGTCTATCCCCCTACAGAATTGACAGCATGCAGGCCGCGTATCAAAGTTCTTATACGGGCTCAGCCGCCGCCGCCGCAGCCTTTGCCGCCAATTATTACCCGCAAACCAATGCCTATGGCGTTATGTCTCAATCATATAACGGTGAGTGACTTTTCGCACTATATTTATGACTTCACACAATCAAATAAATTATTACAATAAACACATGTGTTTGTGCCTTATTTGTCCACTTATTTGTTTATATAATACCCTACTTTACCGCACTTGTCGTGAGTTGGGGAGTGTGATTAATTATTTGTTATTTATTATATTCACTGACCCCACATACCGTTTCCCTATTTATATTCATTATTTTTCAGCAATTTGTATTTGTGATTATTTTCTAGTTAGCGATTTTGTTTCGTAGGATTTGTTTAGAAATAAGTATTTTTTGTTTGAATCTTTCTTATCGCTAGTTTCAATAAATAATTTGAAAATTATTTACTATTTATTTTTCCAACACTTTAGTAATTCGAGAGGTTTTTCTCTCTCATAATTTTCTCGGCACTAAGACACGAGAGAAACAAACCAAACGCTTATTGTATGTGTAATTCATACACCAATTTTGAATATCGCTTACAAATTTATTTGAATATTTTCTTATGTCTCGCAAAACATAAGAAGTTTATTAAACTGTCTATAGATTTGTTGGTGTCTTCCATATCCACCACAAAAATGTGAATGAATTTTGTTGTTCAGACATATTATAGATATAATCTCATAATTGGAGAGACTGCTACATTTCCTATACTGTAGTTAACCGTAACATTTCTGATGAAATTTTAAGCTTTTGTTTAATATAGCGTTCAAATACACGGCGATTCTGTGATTGTATTGTAAAACATGACATAGAAATAAGACACTTGACTCCTATTCCGACTGTTGGGTAATATACGGTTAGACTGTAGTAGACTATAGCCATTAGCAGGCAGTAAAGGCCGTCTACGAGCGCAGCCTAAACTACATAACCTTTTTTGCTGATAGAGTTAAGGCCCGTCTCCAATATCAGTGCCTAAAAACCATTGCATAAGTCGACAGAAATCGATGAAAACTATAACATTAGATAAGGTTTTTCCTGTGTATTAGAGCTATAATTAATGGTTTTGGTATTTTGTATGTAATATTTGGCAGGTTCGCGCTCAATAGGCTCTCAATGTAAATCGAGCTCATCAGCACAGGCAGCACTGGCAGCTCAGGCCGCTTATCTCAATCCATCACCATTTAGCACCACTTTTAATAACAGTAATTCCCAAACATCGCAAAACGCCTATTGCTACGGTATTATAGCGTCCAATTTTATATATACTCCATATTATCGCCAATTCATTAATTATTCGCACATTTCTTATCGCCATTTATCCGCACGACTACCCCATTAGGCTATCCGTCGACGTTCTCCAACACGAGCTCCAACTCGCAGTCGCTGTCCAACTGTCAGCAGTCGCCGATCGACTACCCCTACGGCGGGTTCAGTCACACCACCGGCTATTCGCCGTATTATAACACCGGTTACGGGAGTTATATTCCCAACTCGTCTAATGTAAATAACTCGCCATCGCCCTCATCACTGACACTGTCCTCCGCTGCCAACTCCTCCACACCCGCCGTCACCTATCAGTTGACACAACTGTCACAACAGTCAGGTGAAGTGTCCTAAACACTCACTTATCGCTCCCAACAAAAACTGTACTAACATTTTGTATGCAATTAATTATTTGGACGTTTAGATCAAAATTTGTCGCATTATCACCACATCGACGACTGTCCATCGCCTATAAAGACAGACACTCATCAAAACGCCAGCAATGGAGGCGCCAAAAAAGGTATCGCCAAATCGCGTCCACATGTTATTCAAGCCCTTCATATCAGGCGTGCGATTAGATATGAATTTTTATGTCACGAAAGCATAATTCTTATACACTCTGCGATAGTATAGGAGATTTTTATTACATTCAGTGCATAGTTAGTGATATCAAGAATTTTGATAAACATTTGTGGTATGAGTTTCCCAATGAATGTGTGTTTAGAGAGTGGGAAACCTGTAAAACAAACTTACCTGTACTACAAGCATGTTAAGCTGACAACTAGTCCCTAAAATGGCATTTATCATATCAAATTGATACCTGAGTTATTGATATAACTGTTTGTTGTCTGACACTATAGGCTCAGCGAAGTCAGGCCGACGTGGGCGCCGACCGCCTAACCCATCGCCCGACCCCGAGAACAATCTCGAGCGCGTCTTCATATGGGATTTAGACGAGACTATAATAGTCTATCTGTCGCTCCTCAGAGCCACACATATAGTAGAGGTTTGTGTCTCTATTATACCATATTTTTCTATAATAAATTCAATTATAATAGACAATACACATAATGCACGCATACAATGAATACAAAAATTATATAAAAATATGAAAAATGAAAAAATTTATGCAAAAACAACGAATAGAGCAAAATTTGGATTGAATAGAAAATTGCATTTTGTTGGCTATACTATTATTATTTGTTGGAAAGCAATGCATTAAAGTTATAGTGAGTTTGGTTCAGAGAGACTGAGTCTTAATGGATGAGTGAAATATGAGACTTAAGTTTGGAGGCAAACCATTTCATACCATTTCGTATGTTTGCTCTGAGGAGAGAGCACTCACTAAAGCATCGCCGCTATTATTATTCTGTGCCCTAAATCAATATCTTTCTCATATTGTTAGCCATTCTCTGACATTCACTATAAAGAGAGAGAGAGAGAGAGAGAGAGGGAGAGGGAGAGAATAGTAGTGCTAACTTCATAATACAATTCATAGACAACACACACAACACAACGAAGACTACAATAACTTTTATTCATTAAAATGAAAACGCTTTTAATATAATGCTGTTTACACTCGTGTACCGAAAAACTAATATAATTTGTGCACACTTTTCGCCTGATTTTTTTTCGGTCTCGGGTGCTCTATGTTTGAGTGTTTGGTTAATGGGGTTTATGTTTGATTGTGTTGTAGGGCAGTCAACACTGCAATAACGACTGCAAATGTATACAATGTATAGGAATGCAATTGGAGGAACTCCTCAACCGTTTCGCTGAGAACCACTTCTTCTATAATGACTTAGAGGTATGTCTTCACACATATTAATGTCATCATTAATAACCTATTAATACAACCATTTCTGACAATTTTTACGACCAGGACTGCGATCAGGAGCACGTGGATGACACGGCCACCGATGATAATGGCCAGGATTTAACGTATGTATCACTTATTCCTATGCCTTTCTTAAGTGAACAAAGTTTTTGTTAGCTATGCCTGACATCTGTTACTTCGAAAATATAGTTGCTTTAAGATTTGTACAGCGAAATAAAAATGAAAATTCAGCTTTATAGCACAAAAGTTTTCTAATAATAACTTATGATTAAACTCGATCCCTAACCCTAACGTAACCAACAAAATATATAAACAATTTTTTCTTCTCAACTCACAAACAAATCCATTGCCTTAAGCCTATGCAGTGATCCCTTTATAACTTATATAAAAAAACATTATTTAATAATTTATTTGGTATTAAATTTTTTATTTAAATTTTCAATTAATGGTTACTTTTGGTTATATATCTGATAATGAATTACAAGCAATGATTGAATATTATTTAATGATTGTCTTCATTATACAACTTTTAACCTCAAAGTTATAAATATTTAAAAAACACATAAAAAACATTTTATTTCAATAACCCTTTTATATATTGTAGTGTATAATTAGTATTTATATTGAATTTATTATCTAATAAACAGATTTATTGAATCGCTTTTTGTTTTGACAGTAATTATAATTTCCAAACCGACGGCTTCTATACGGACGGCTCGTGCCGTGCGGTCACTCTGGGACTGACTGCCGGTCCCGTCAGGGGTGGTGTCGACTGGTTAAGGAAAATGGCTTTTCGGTACCGAAGGATCAAGGATACCTACACTCGCTTTAGGGAAAATGTTTCAGGTACATTTCGAAGCTATTATGTCGTTTTTACACTTTTTTGATACTTTTTTGGGCTTTAATTTATTCAAAATTGTTTTCGAAACTAATTAAAGATTCAAAAGATATGTTATTTTAAATAAATTAATAATTTGTATGATTACGTCTGTAATTAGTACTCAATTACTAAGTAATACATTGAAACGATCAATCAGTTTAGTAAATAAAAAGTTGAATTCAATTTACGAAAAAAGTTGTAACAAATGCTGACATTAATCGAGATTTCATGAATAATAGACTTTGAAATGCATATTAACACAAGAATTATATACATTTTTACAGTCTAATCAAATTTTTATTCACCATTCAATTCAATACGTTTACTTAATATATTTTGCATAAAATACAATAATATTTAACAGGATAAAATACGTGTTATATATTTTAGGACAAAGTTTATTCAGCATAAATTAGAATTATTTAAATTTATTATAATTAATATTAATTAAACAAAATTTTAGTCACAACATTATGAATATCTAAAAATCTTAATCTAATAATTTTTTATATAAAATAATATTAACTAGAAAGTTTAGTTTTTGTGGTGAAGTTGAAAAACACACATCAAAATAATCAGCCAGAAAAAGTGTACTTAATAAACAGCACATATTTTCAATAAACTGAATCTACTTAATAGTAATCATAATAATATATTCAGATTAAATCAATTGCATAATAATATAATGGATTGAATATATTTACAAAATTATAACTCATTTTTTCGGACAAAATTAATGATTGGTTTGTATGCTTACAGAAAAAGAGTTGAATAAAGCTATCAATCATTGAAAAAAGCATTTTTTATATCAATATTTTCTGCAAAAAAAGAAAGTTTAAAATTAAACACAAAAAGCAAATCCCGAAAAAGTGTATATAAACTGTGGCGAGTGTGTGTGTGTATTAAAAATTGAATCCCTTTCCAACCAAATGCCTCCGGAGGTTTAGTCCATTGAATACGAAATGTATTTCATGAATACTATTATGTAATGTGAAGTTTTTATGACTTGAATTACAATTCATCCGAAAATAGCACTCGTATTAGTACTTGAAGTTTAATATGTCTTATAAATGTCTAAAGAAATATTAATTAATTATTCGCAATTTTTTGCCATTACTTTATGTCACATAAAAGGCTTTCTGCTCTCATATGAAATGCTATATTTTTACTTTTCTCTTTGCAAATGTAGACTTGAAAACAAATTTTATTCACCAAAAAAATTAATTTCCAAAAAACCTTCAACTCAATACGCGCTGTACAAATGGCTTATGTTGTTTGAAATGCACTTATTTTTTATAATATATATTATATCTTTTATATTCAGTCTCTGAAATAAGTTTAAAAATTCTTGTGAATATTTATTATCACTTTATCTGATCCTTTTCTCAGTAACCACTAAAATATTTGTGTTTTGTTTTCCAAATAAGAAGTAAAAACTTGTGTAGAAATAAACATTTCGTACGAAAAGTCGTAAATTAATTGTTTTAGCAAAACATTTCATAATAACTCATAAAAATCTATCATAATGTAATAAAATGTTGGATTTAATACAATTTAACTCATTTCTTGAGCTTTTAATTCATTTTATAATTGAAGCAATAATACAATTTAAGATTGTCATAAGATTGTTTAAAATATTGTTTTTAAAATATTAAAACCCTGTAATTTTATTTATTTATATGCTATCAAACTTTTATAAATGATAAAACTTTAGTTATTAACTGAATATAAATTGAAAAATCATTGATTTTGAAATAATAAAACAAAGTAGTTTTGTTATTAGGCATTGAATTATGGGTGTTTTATGAATAAATTGATTTTGTGCAAACTTTATAAAAACAAAAACTTTATAAATTCTTTATTTATTATAATATTTAAATGATCTTGGATGTAGAGTTATTGAGTGGTCCCGAGAGAGACAAACTGTACGAAATCCAACGGGAATGGGACGTCTATACCGAGAACAGGACTCTTAAAGCTCTCAAATGTTTGCAAATAATCACTTCCAGGTAACTATTGTTAACATATTAAATATGTCAAATCACATAACCAATGATAATCTAATTGCACGTTAGGCCCAAATGTCTGAATATATTGGTGACATCGGTTCCATTAGTGCCATCATTAGCCAAAGTGATGATCTTCGGAGTGGCGCCTAATTTCAATATAGAGAACATCTATAGTGCAGTCAAATCAGGTATTATAGCCAATAGTGATTTCATTAATGGCACTCATATTATTAAACACTACTTTGAGTATTTTGATTAATGATTCAATTCATTGATTTTTTATTTTCGTTTGTTTTTAAAGGCAAAGAAAGTATTTTTCAGCGAATAGTGAATAGATTTGGCAAAAAGTGTACGTATGTGGCCATTGGGGACGGCAAGGATGAAGAGATCGCCGCCAAAAAGGTATTATTAAATG